TGAAATAAAAAAATATACTGCAATTGAAACTCTAAAGTTAAGTGATTGAAGGAGTGTGGTACTAGTGCCAGATGGGAAAAGGACAAACTATTCAAAAGATAGTATAGGAACAATTGGGTATCCATCTGGAAAAAAAATGGAATTGGATAAAATTTTACACTGTCACAAATGCCACAGAGGAATAATGAGCTAAATGTAAAATACAAAGCTACTAAAGTATTTAAAAGAAAAAAAAGAGGGGGGGAGGATTTAGAGGAGGAAAGTTTCCTAAAAATTCAGATACTATTAATGATAAATAGCAGATTTGACTGCATAAAATAAAAAATTGCAAATGAAGCCCTCTACGAATCTGAATCGCACTGACTGGAAGAAAGCATGGTACAAGGGATTATCATCCAGAGTATATATAAATCAGTATGAAAAAGAAAAGGACCCAAGAGAAAGGTGCACAAAGAATAGATTATTTAGAAAAGAAACACAAATGAACAAAGAAAACTAGAGAGGGAGAAACTGTAATGTTCAGCAATATGCAAATTAAAACAAAAAGACACTTCCCCCAAGACTGGAAAAAATTTTAAAGACTGGTTATACCAAGTACTGCCAAAGGTATGGGGTCATAGGTACCCTCATGAATTAGTATGCAAGTACAAATGCTACAGCCTTTCTGGAGAGCAATTTGCCACACCCTATTCAAAGAATGTCCTCTATATCTGCATTTGGGCAGACTGATGTTAATTATGAGCAAAATAACCAAACAGTCATCAATAGGAGTATGGTTAAATAAATTATGATACACCTGTTTACTCAGAGTAACAGTTCTGTCATTGCCCTAACATGGGACTATTTCCAACACAAATCATTAAAAGATAAAAGTGGCTGGAAAAGAATATATAAACAAGATTCTTTATAAATATATTTAAAAAAAATAGTTTTTGTACCAGATAAATCTTATCACTATACAAAAAACAGGTCTGGAATAATGCATGCAAAGCTTAACAAATTATGTTTGAGAATAGGAATATCTGATTTTTATTTTACGTACTTCTAGATTTTTTTTTTAACCACAAAGAATTTACTTATTCCCAAAGAAACAAAATATGCTGTCTGCCTATCCTGAGACACTATTATTGGTCACTGTACAGTAAGATGTGCTCTTTGAATTGCTTTTGCCAGTTCTAACTGCTCGTTTCTGCTTATTCTAGAGCATCTGTAAAATGAGACTGCTGCATTAGACTATCTCGGGAGGTAAAACACGGATCACTTTAGCTTTATGCTAGGTACATTTGCTTGAAAAACAAACAAAAAATCTCAAATACAAATAAATCAAAAGACAAAAGAAAATAGTAAGCCAAAAGAAAAACCTCTTAGTGTTGCTAGTATATTCTGATGCCAGGAAATAAAACTAAACCCTTTATCTTTTAGGTTATGATTCCTCTAGGTAGGCATAAAAACTTACAAAGGCTTGGAACTCAATAAACATCTTTGGTCAAATTTCATGAATACTCTATTGGTACTGAAGAGAAAAATTCAATGGGGTTTTTGCCTTCAGGAAAAGTTCATCATTATTTTGTACCTTTACAGACTATATTCACATAGCTAACAACCTCTGATTTTCTATTTGCTTGGCTGCAAAAGAAAGTGAATTTGAAAGTAAATCTGTAAGAAGCAAAGAAACATGTCTGTTTACACATCTGTTCAGTATCTATTAATTTGGGGTGAAAAGCAGAGCTTAAACTTTTCCAACAGCAACAAAGAAGTTATTGATCTGATAAACAGCAAAATAACCACAAGCAGAAAAAAACTAAACATGACCACCTCCAAAGATATATAGGTTAAAAAAAAACCCTACTGTTTAACAGGATAATAAATTAGTACTTGAGAACCCTTAAACTCTGTCAAATAAATAATACTCAATCCTTCTGTTACATTAATAAGTATTGTCAGAGTAATTCAAAAGATTCTAAATGCAATATATAATATAAATATAAAGTAGAATTTATATGTTAACATGTTAAAAGTTCCTGAGCACTAAAAGAAATTTTATTTCTGAATAAGACAATTATATGAAAATACTAATATTGCTGTTACATATAAGAAATAACGTGAAGGCAATTCAAGCATCTTAGTTTTCATCAGCATACATCAATTTCTACAGTTAAAATGAAAAAAAAAGTTCAAATTTAAACTTACTCCGTGGCCATAAACAATGCCTGTATAACACTGTTCATATAACAGGTATTCCCTAGATTAATAAGACCAGTTTTCCCAGTTTCAGATTTTCCAGAAAGTCTAGACAAACAAGATGCCAAAGAATTGGATTGAGAAGTCCAGGCACTTTGACTGAGAATCAATTTAATCTTCTCTTCACTGGGCTTAGGAAAATCCTATAGATCATAAAGAGGAAAAATAGTGTAAAAATATAAACTATTTTTTGTTATTAACACCATAAAGTAGACTCTTCCACTGATATTTAACTTTTTATTTTCTCCCACTCAGTTTTGAAATCACTGGTAATACTTGACCAGTTATCAAAAACTGAACCATACTACATGGCAAAAATAATTATCTCTTAGAATGCATTAAATATCTCTTAACAGTAGAGTTTATCAAGCTGAGGAATACTCAAGAACCAGGAATTCAAGTCTCCTTTGAACTATTTATGTTTCATATTTGCCATCAAAATGTTTTCAAAATAGAACTCTGAGATCAATAGATCAGAACTCTGAGATATGTAGTGCTATTCAAAGGCAGCAGAATGAGGACTTAAAATTAGCACACAATTGAACAAGGTAAACAATTTGCTTTCAAATTTTGTAATGAGGATAAGAAATATCCCCTTTTCATTTACTACTGTTTACCTGCTCTTACGCCTTAGAAATAAAAGCTCAAAGTAATAAGGGGATGAAAAATGAAAGTTATCTATGCACAATGACCTCTGACTTTAAAAAATAAAACTCAATCTCATGTTTAACCATACAGAAAATTATTACAAGATACAGTTTCTTCCCCGCTTCGTGACATATGAGATAAAATTTTAAGTGTAAATGATTTAGATCCAATATCTATACAAAGCTGAAAAACAGTAAGTTTGCAAATAATTCAAGTAAAGATTCTACAAAATATGGACACTCATGAATAATCCATAGCAAAAATGAAAAAACAGAGAAGTCAAATATTTTATTAAACTGCCTTTCCTTAATTCTAAGATGTATCTTACATATTTTAACACTTCTGATATTGGGAAACAACTCTGATGTATGTATTCACTTAATGTAGCATTTTTTAAACTGTTATAAATTTAAAGATATGCCTTATAATTATTGGCTTTGTAGAACTGAAGAAATATGGTTATTAATTTAAATTAGTTACAGAAAGTAAGAATGAGATTACTCCCTAAAAATTAATGAACCCTGATTCCAATTGCATTTTTCAAACAAAAAACATATTTCCATTAAACAGTCAATTGAAGAGCTGGTCATAGGAATGTTTCACGGTGTTCATCTATCACATCACGGGCTGCAGCTCCGCAGACCCCGGTGCAACTGTCATCGTACCTTTACTGCTTCCAGGATAGGTTCATAGAGATCTGGAAATCCAGAATAGTGATACATCATACAGTGTATCAATTCTGTTAACTGCACTAGGAAGGCTGTACTGGAGGGCAGACCATCACTTTTGAAGGAGTGAACCAAGTTAACCACATGAGGAACAATCTGAACAGAAAAAAAGACAAACATTTCTCAGTTTACAAAAATGGCAACAAGTTCTGGAAAAGAATATATAAATAAGATTCTTTATAAACATATTTTTAAAAAATAGTGCTTTTTTTTTAGCCTACAAATGGAATGCAAATGTTACATGATCAGCAAGTGCTTTTTGGTGTGTTCAGTCATTGCCTTTTTCTAAAAAGTTATGAAGTTAAAAATTTCTAGAATATCAAGGTACATCTAGTTTTTAAGTCAAATGTAATTGTAATTCTACCTAGGACCCCTCTCCTCATCCTTACACTCCATCTAAAGCTAGGTTCAAACTAACTAAAGCAGAAAATAGGAGCCTTCGTTACTACTGCCGTTCTAATGATGCTAGGGCTATTATATTTACCACGTTGTTCAAAAGGGACAAACTTTTAAAAGCTAAACCTAGAATTAGCTCAAGAGCTCCATCTAGTGTGAATTTTAGATTTTTCACTTTAAAGAGTCATACATACTTTGCACATTAACGTCTACTTCAAGAAAATCTTCAAAATAACTCACACACATAACTAAAATTACAGCTCAGGCTACAGCACTACCTCTATTTTTAGCTAAGGGACTACCTCTATTTTAGGGACGGTGTCTTATCATGGTTATCCTTACTAATGACCCCCATTCTACACTTCCAAAAAAAAAAAAGATGGTTCTAAAAATAAAGTGAATCAGAAACTTCTATTATTTTTAGGGAATTTGGGTTAAAAATGAAAGCAAAATGAGGCTAAATGAAATGCTCACGGCTCATAAATATGTAGAAAACTATTAAAACCAATAATAAGTATAACAATGTCCTTTCATTATAAAATTAGACTAAAAAGTCAATATAGAGCCAATCTTATTTGAGGTTATTAACAAAACAAACTCTATTTTGCAGAAATGGCTCATTCCATTGGTACACTGCTATACTTGTTTCAACTAATTATTAATTATAATCTGATACTTCATATTTATATTTCACATGTATAAAGCATCTTATTATTTTATATTTGTAGAACTTTGTGTGTAGCAACACGGGAAAATATGTAATGTTAAATTTTAAAAGAAGGATACAAAAACTGCACATAGATGACAAATATAAATACAGTCCTGTTAAAATACCTAGGGGAAAAACATCATAATGGAAAACATAAAAACTATAGTGTAGTGAGATTATGGATAATTTCATGACATATTGGCCTAACTTCCTGTATTGTTAAATAATCTTTCTGTAAAAGTTTAATTTTGTTGTAAATGAATTATATGGTTATTGTAAAATAAAAACAAAAACAAAAAACCTAACAATACAAACTTGAAATAAGTGAAAGTCTCTGTCTCGTTGTCCACTGAAAGACATTGCTTGCTATATGTCACACTTCATATGTCACATTATATACCACATGTTATTTTTTGTACAAATGTAATCATACCATATATATATACTGCTTGTAATTTTTATTTCAGCTGACAATCATCTCTTGCATCAATTCATGCAAAACCTCCCAACTGGTCTCCCTGTTTTCACCCTTGCCCTTCTTCAGACTATTCTCAAAGTACCCAAATAAACCAAATAAAAGGCAGTGTAGAACTTTTTTTTCTGGTTGCTAACTTGTGATAAAAGTAAAGTGATAGCTCTATGGTCTTATTATCAAACAGCAATAACAACAATTAAAGTACTATCCCAGTCAATTCCGTTCCTTCCTATAAAAAGAAAATCATATTCTTAAATTAACATGGCCATTCTCGATCTACTGTGTCTGGTTTTACTCTTATGCTTTGAGGTCTTATATCACATTCTAGCTTTTGCACCACTTTCTTTAATTTACCCCATCAAAGGTATTAATCTGACCATAAAACTACAAGTTCCTGAAGGTTCACTCTGTAGCTCTCATCTCTACATTTCAAAGCAAGCCTGAATTATAATTCTTCTTCATAAAGCCATATCTATCAGATACTCTGCTGCTAAAATAATCAGAAATCCAAAATTATTGTTTCCTCAGAGGTGATGGGAGAAACAGAGATGGAAGAGGAAAGAATTTTTTAAATGATTATTTCATTTATAATTCCAAATCTTCTAAAAGCTTTCCTAGTGTAGACTGGGTCTCTACGATCAGATAATACATGTAGTTGTCTATAACTACATCTTAAATGGTCAAAATTACCACTGATGCAGAAATAAGACTACGTTCTTCATAAGCACACTGATAGACATCCAAGCAGGCTATTACCTTCTAAATGCCTGAAAGTGGAATTTTTTCTGAAGGAACAAATCTAAATATTTACAGACATTATTGTGATATTCATTAAACTTAAGTTACAATTTGCAAAAATGTGTATGATTTATTTAATTAAAAGCTTTGATATTTTTTCTTCAGTTTAAAATTTTTTTTCACTTATAAAAAGCATATGAAAAGAAACTTGATCCATAATAACACATGCTATATTACAAATTTTGGTTTGCTCTAAAATATTCTTACATATATAATATAATGAATAATGATGATGGTGATTCCAGACTATTGCTCATACTTAGCAGCTCCTAAACCCAAGTCCTTCACTGAGTTATTTAGAGCTACAGGTGATTTAACTACCACATGACCCACTACTGGATGCCCAAGTTAATTTTAGTTGAGTAGCAGGTCAGGCTATACACAGTATGTAGACAGCAATTAGGTCTATGTTTTTAGACTTTACTAAGCCAGATCACAATTTTCAATTTTAGATCTAACTCTTCCTTAAATAAATGATTGATATTTGCTTATTTCAGTAGCCAAATATTTCCAAGTCAACCATTTGCTATTTCAATTACTTTTTTTCCAGGGGGGAAAAAAAAAGCAATGCAAGGTAAGGAGATATCTTCCATCTTGTAAAAACTGAGCAAAGAAACAGGTTTAGAGTATAGCATAAGTGACTAATCAGAGAGACTAAGGAATGTCCTCAGTGTGGAGAGCAATAAAAGTTAGAATGGATGAGTTCCTTCCCAGAAATTCTGAAAATAAACCTTTTCTCAAATAGCCTACACATCATCATGCCTCGTCACAGGGACAAAGAGTTGATTTTTTTTCCTTGAAAGATTTTGTTAGTATACATACTATATTAGCTCAAGTTTGAGTTTTGTGTGTGTAACAGATATAAGCTTACTAATTAATGTTCAAGCTCACCAACTAGGGCAATTAAATGCAGAAATCACTCATGCTAAGTGATACTATATAATGTAATTACTGGTAATTAAGGTTTACTTCTATTGAGCCTGCAGACTTCCTTCAGTGGAAATAAGGCACTTAGCAGCCTATGTGAGAATAATATTCTGAGGCTAGTGATATGTCTAGCTAACAATCAATATTTGGAATTCTGCACTTCATCAATCTCCTTTGAATTTGTTTGTGGTGGGCCAATATTCCTAAAACTTTAACTCTGTGGGTATGTTGATAATGAATTTCTTGTTCTGTAGAACTGAGGATCAGACCTTGGAGAAAGTGGGTAACCACATAAAGCACTGCATTCCTGTGACACCCTAGATAGACAAATGGACAGTTCCTAAAATAACACTGTCATTTCTCACCTAATAATCTGATAATCAAATAATCAATATCAAATCAAATCAAAACCTGTGATGTAGATGGTTAAAAGTGGCAGGATTCTAGATATATTTTAAAGGTGGAATCAACAGGATTTGTAGGATACAGGTTGAGAGAGAAAGAAAAGCCCTAATTCTGGGGCAACAAAACAAAGAGTGATGTTTTTGAAGTTCTAAAGTAGTCAGTGGTTTTCAACCATTTTATTTCTACACTATTCACATGTGCAACAGATGCCATCTGTGACACTGACATGGGACGTCTCTCATTAAGAAGAGTGGCTTTCAACTTTCCATTGCTGATTCTGACTGTAAGTGGAGCAATTCTGGTGAGACCTAGAACATTCTGAAAACATATTCTTTGGAAGGAAATCTCAAAATCTCAATTTTGACAGCAACTATAAAGCTACGTGAGAACAGTCATATTTAGGACTAACCTACAGTCTTTTCACAATCAACAAATGTGACTCAATAGTAAACTGAAATTTTAAGACAAGGTTTTTCAGCATAGAAAATTTGTGTCACAACTTACCAAATGGAACGCCTCTGGCGAATGCTGAAAGCTCAGCAGCATGTGAGAAAGAACTGCAAGAGCACCGGGTCTCACAAGAGGAAACCAAAGACGATTGAAAACCTTCAGGAAAGACAAGACACCCACTTTAAGAGTCAGCAGGGAATCATTTACCCAACTGGTGGTTATTTTCCTAGGGCCAAAAATTATTTATGTGAATATCCCCCTTCCTGGAAAGTTCTATCATAACAAATATTATTAAACTCTGGGAGAGGGAGACAGTTGGGAAATAATGACAGAGATCAAGGGAATATAGTGACTTAACCAACTCTTAAAACCTCCTGATCAAATAAGAAACTGTCAAATCATGTTTACAAGGTAATAAGCTCCACAGCCCATTATTCAGTCAATTCATTCAAATATTTATCGAGCACCACTATTGCTCAGCACTGTTCTGGGCAGGCAACAGTAGATTAAAAAAAAGAAATCTCTGATCTTACAGGGCTTACAGTCTAGAGGGTGGGTAGAGATAATAAAAAGTAACATGGGAGAGAGCTGCTGTGAAAGCAGGGCATGTTGCATAGGGAATGCTGACTGGCAAAAAGGCCTGCTATTTCATACAGGGAATCTAAAAACTGCCTCATGAAAAAGGTGGTATTTGGCTATTAAAAAACTGAAAGGAATGAGAGTAAGTCTGACAGATGGCTGATAAGCAGGAAAAGGCCCAGCACTGCAGAAGCCGAGGCCTCCAGCCTGGTGGACTAGAGAGATAACAACAAGGGCAGGGTAAGTAAAGCGCAGAGACTGAGGCAATCATAGTGGGAGACTGGAAGAGAGAAGTAGCAGTGGGCCAGATCATACAGGACCTCGAGGGACACCTGAGGGGACCAAGAGCAGGAAGGCTACAGCAATCAATACAGCAAGGGATGACGATGACTTTAGACCAGGGCGGTAGTGATGTAGCTGGTTAAAAGTGGTAAGATTTGGGATATATTTTAAAGGTGGAGTCAATAAGATGTGTAAGATATGGGCTGGGAGAGAATGAAAAGAAACTTCAAGGTTTTTGGCCTGAGCAAGAGGAAGGATGGAATATCCATTTATGATGGGGAAGATCAGGTCTTGGAGAGAAAAATCAGGGGTTAAGATTATGGATAAGTTGAATTTGAAAGCTAAGTACAGAAAGTTGTAGGAATACTATTCAGCCATAAAAACTGACAACATAACGCCATTTGCAGCAACATGGATGCTCCTGGAGAATGTCATTCTAAGTGAAGTAAGCCAGAAAGAGAAAGAAAAATATCATATGAGATCGCTCATATGTGGAATCTAAAAAAATAAAATAAAATAAATACAAAACAGAAACAGACTCATAGATATAGAATACAAACTTGTGGTTGCCAAGGGGGTGAGGGGTGGGAAGGGACAGACTGGGATTTCAAAATGTAGAATAGATAAACAAGATTATACTGTATAGCACAGGGAAATATATACTAGATCTTGTGGTAGCTCACAGCGAAAAAAATGTGACAATGAATGTAAGTATGTTCATGTATAACTGAAAAATTGTGCTCTACACTGGAATTTGACACAACATTGTAAAATGACTATAACTCAATAAAAAAATGTTAAAAGTATAGAAAGTTGTATACATGAATATGGAGTCCATGGAATAATAATGGACGAGAAATATAAACTTTGCAGTCATTATCTTAGAGATGTTATTTAAAGCCATGGATGGCTGTGAGTAGACTGAGAAGAAAATGAACCAGAGGGCACTCTAAAGGTAGGAAGACCCACTACAGAAGCCTGAGAAGCCAGTGAACTAGGATAAAAACTACGAAAGTATAATGTCCTGGAAACTAAGTGAGGTAAGTGTTTCAGTAGGGAGTGATCAACTATGTCAAATGACTGAAAGGTTAAATGAGAGGAGGCCTGAGAAATAGCTCCCGAGTTATGCAACACTGGAAAGCATTGGTGTCAAAGACAGTTTTGACAGAATAATGGTGGTAAAAGCTTGATTCGCTGAGATTCAAGAGATAACGGGAGGAATGTGTTTTCATATTAAATATTTGAAAACAGCAAAATTAATTACCTAATCTTAAGCAGCGTTCTAAATTTCTAAAGCTCATTCAGAATTATTATTCAAAAGAACAAAAACAAGAACATATTCAAAATTAGAAGCTTTAAAGGGCACAATTGAAAGAAAAAGATAAAAAGATTGACTATATTAACCTACACATTCTAATAGATTTATATATTCCCACTTACCAGTTCTATTTTCAGTAAAGTAACATCTATCAAAATAGTAAACTTCTGGACAGCTGCCAGTCCTTTCAGGAGTGCAATCACCCATGTGTCTACGTGCTGAGCCAATGGCCAAGACAGCCAGTCAATCATTCTGAAAATTGAAGGAAAACGAAACCATCAGCATTGAAAACATCTTCAACATTATTTAATTAGGAATAAAAAGAATTACAGTAGATACTCACTTTGTGACTCAGTATTTACTGAGCTTGCTTGTGAAAAGCACTATTGAAGATGTAGAAATGAGAATAATAGGTGCTTATACTCAGAGTTTCTAATCTTGTAAGCTGACAGTTTCTTATACAGTATATTTGCATAAAAATTTCTCAGATAAGCTATCATTTTGCATAAACACAAAGTTTAACATTTATGCTATATATGGTATCAAGAATTTATTAGGCAAATTTACTCTAATAAGAACAGTTTAAATACAACTATCTTAACTAAGACATATGGATATGAACCACAATTTCTCCTTGCTAGTAACTGCAGTCTAAATATGAAATGCGCTGTTTAAAAAGACTGTATTTTGAATTGTGGAACAGGTCTCTTCATCTCTTTCAAAATCCTACTACACAAAGACAAAAGAAATTTTAAATAGATAAAAGGGCACTGAATGTGTAAATATCAAAACGGCCTCATTTTGTATTAATGAGTGTGTTTCTTTTTGAGTACCAACCCAGTTTAATAGAAATAAAGATAAAATAATATGGGGTGTGATGGAGACTGTCCCAAAGGTTAGACCTCAACCACAATGAAGAAGACTGGTACAACTCTTCTGGAGAGCAATTGGGCCAAATGTTCTTATTCTTTGATCCAGAAATCCAATTTTGGCAAATATATAATTTAAAAAACTTGTAAAAAGAACTCAAGTTTTTAAAGTCAGAGCGATCTGGTTTAAAAATCTCAATTCACCATTTAATAGCTGGGGGATCCTAAATACTTATATAAGTTATTTAACTTCTTTGCATCTCAGTTCATTATCTGTAGATTACAGATAAACATGCTTATTTTACAGGGCCGATGTATAGGTTAAACGCATTAATATATGCCACTGGAAATACTCACAATGAATGTCTCTCTTCCACCAAGAGATAATACCTTGATCATATGAAACATCAAATATAAATACTGAGTACATAAACACATGACCAAAAGAGCAACTAACATGTTAAAAGGACTGACTTTCCTATTGATATGTTATAAACAATCTACAGTAGCACTGGAGGGTTATCTTTATTAAGGTTTTTGCTCTTAAGATTAAAATGTTCCATTAGATACTAAGAGTGGTTCCAAAGTCCAAACACATTTTAACTGCAGGTTATCAGTGTGTTCCCTCTGTTCCTTACACACATTGTCTTTCCCTGCTTGTCTTTCTGGCCATCTTCTTCCAATAGTGATGGTTATAAGTCATTACAGTAGTCCCTGACAACTGTTCCACATCTTCCATCTGTTGTTAGTCT